GTTGCTTCCTATCACCAAACTGGGGTGCTGTGGCTCACCAACTTCTATTCATCACCATTTCGTTGTTCCCGACCTCAGTTCCACAGTCCCATTCAGCTGTTGTCCCACTTCTGCAACCCATCATGGCTAGTGTCTCAAGAAGACTTGTGATACTTTATTTTTTGCCATGCAGTCCCTAACCAAGCAAAGTATTCGATGCTCCATCAATGTCCCCTGAACTCCTTCCCATCCACTTTCCCCTTGACCCTTCCCTAATATCCATGGGCTGCTGCTCTCTGCCTAGGGACTCCTGCCTATCAACAGTTTCCATTGCACCTGCTTTCCATTTGTTCTCTCAGCTCCAGATGTGGTTGTCTGAGTCATATCTCACTCCATTACATATCCTCACTCATTACATATCCAACAATTCCACCACTCCCTCCCTTCAAATGACATCCAGAATCTCTTACTTCACACCTACCCATCCACCACCACACCAGTTTCAAGCTAGCTGCTGCAGGGACTTTTTTGAAGTGTCATTGCTACCCTTACGTTACATCACAGTCTATCCTCCACATGGTAGCTGGTCAATCTTTTACAATGCAAGGTAATTACAAGCTGCATCTCCCATGGAAGATCTGTAGCTCCAACCAAGGGTCTATCTTGACTTCTCTCATTCCATCTTTTTTTTTTTACTACCTCTAGCCCCTGACATGTTTCATTCACAGGGCATTATCTGTTCTACCACAAACATTCTTCCTCAGTAAACCTCAATACTCCCTCCCCACCTTTTCAGAAAGCCCTGCCCTATTCCCCCAGCATCCCATCATTAACAATAGTTATTTTCTCTTCTGTCTCTTCTGGCTGGAAGCTAACCACTCCCCCCCCCATACTACTTTTTCTGGAGGGGTCAATGGTGGCCCCAACATCCAGTGAGCTGCTCATACTCAGCAGGCAATGAGTGGGTATAAAGTATCTGGTCCATCCTTGCCTTTGTCTCCTATGGTAGTGTCACCTATCCAAAGCTGTCTACCTACTTGGGTGTAGTTAGCTAGCTGGGGCTGTCTGAAACACCTAAGGCTCCCAAACCTAGTACCTGCTAGGCTGTGACCAACTCCCAAACCCTACATCCAACATAGCTTCTTCAAGATCCACACTATCTGCCCTTTCTCTTTCTACACAAAACTCAGAGAGTCTGTCCTGAGTAACCTGGAACCTAGAATAGCACTCCAAATGCTTTGAACAGTCTCTTCACTTCGCCTAAGAGGTCTACAACCCTCTTCACCCACTCTCTTTGCTGATCATCAATTGCTGCCCAGAGAAGACTTATAATGTCTCCTCTTCATTTTTGCCCAGACAGCAGGGCATGCAGAGTAAAGGCCTCTAACTTGTCACAGAGCTGGTAGAGATGCTGCAGACAAAGCCCCAGTCCATAAGCTGTAGTAGGAAGGAATCAAGGATGCTCTGAGAGATGGGAGCCTCAAGCCCTCTTGTGTTACACATGTTTTGCCTATGCCTTCAGGTGTTTGTGTGTGTGTGTGTGTGTGTGTGTGTGTGTGTGTGTGTGTGTGTGTGTGTGTGTGTGCGTGCGTATATATATATACACTTTTGTGTCTG